AGATAAACAAAAGTTAAGGTAGTTCATCACCACAAAACCTCCTCTTCAAGAAATGCTCAGGAAGAACCTCATTCCTGAAAAATCAAAAAAAGGAAAGGGGTTACAAAATCCAGAACAAAGGAGATAAGCAGAAGGACAATAACACAAAGTAACAGCTCTCCATCAGGACAAAATGCAAAAGAACCAGAAAACAAGTGATAAAATGGCAACAGTAGGCCCCCACGTTTCAATAATCACTCTAAACGTGAATGGATTGAACTCTCCAATCAAAAGGCACAGAGTGGCAGGATGGATCAAAGAACAAGATCCAACAATATGCTGCCTCCAGGAAACACACCTCAGCCCCAAAGACAAACACAGACTCAAAGTAAAGGGATGGAAGACAATACTCCAAGCTAATAATGAACAAAAGAAAGCAGGTGTTGTCAGAGTTATATCAGACAAAGTAGACTTCAAAGCAAAACAGATAAAGAAAGACAAAGGGGGCAGTATATAATGATAAAAGGGACGCTCCACCAAGATGACATAACACTTATAAATATATACGCACCTAACACAGGAGCACCAAAATTCGTAAAGAAACTATTAACAAAACTAAAAGGAGACATCAACAGCAATACAATAATAGTAGGGGACCTCAACACCCCATTAACACCAATGGACAGATCATCCAGACAGAAAATCAACAAGGAAATTATAGAATTAAATGAAAAATTAGATCAGATGGACCTAATAGATATATATAGGACACTTCATCCAAAAACAGCAGGTTACACATTCTTCTCAAGTGCGCATGGAACATTCTCAAGGATAGACCATATCTTGGGAAACAAAGCAAGCATCAATAAGTTCAAGAGGGTTGAAATAATATCAAGCATCTTTTCTGATCATAATGCTATGAAACTAGAAATCACCTACAAGAATAAAGCTGGGAAAGGGCCAAAAATGTGGAGACTAAACAACATGCTACTGAACAAACAATGGATTATTGAAGAAATTAAAAAAGAAATCAAACATTATCTGGAAATACATGAAAATAAAAACACACTGTACCAAATGATTTGGGACGCAGCAAAGGCAGTCCTAAGAGGGAAATTCATTGCAATACAGGCTCACCTCAATAAGTAAGAAAAATCTTACATAAACAACCTCAAACAACACCTAACAGAATTAGAAAAAGAAGAACAAACAAAGCCCAAAGTCAGTAGAAGGAGGGAAATAAAAATTAGAGCAGAAATAAATGATATTGAATCAAAAAAAACAGTAGAAAGGATCAATGAAACAAAGAGTTGGTTCTTCGAAAAAATTAACAAAATCGACAAACCCTTAGCCAGACTCACTAAAAAAAAAAGAGAGAAATCTCAAATAAATAAAATTAGAAACGAGAGAGGAGAAATCACAACAGATACCAAAGAAATACAAAGGATCATAAGAGAATACCATGAAAAACTATACGTCAACAAATTGAACAACCTAGAAGAAATGGGTAAATTCCTAGACTCATACAACCTACCCAAACTGAATCAGGAAGAAATAGAGAATCTGAATAGACCAATCTCAAGTAAAGAAATAGAAACAGTAATCAAAAACCTCCCCAAAAATAAGAGTCCAGGACCAGATGGCTTCTCTGGAGAATTCTACCAAACATTCAAAGAAGATTTAATACCTATCCTTCTCAAACTATTCCAGAAAATAGAGGAAGATGGAGCACTCCCTAATACATCCTATGAAGCCAACATTACCCTGATCCCCAAACCTGACAAGGCCAACACAAAGAAGGAAAACTACAGGCCAATATCACTGATGAACATAGATGCAAAAATCCTCAACAAAATTTTGGCAAACCGAATACAGCAATATATCAAAAAGATTACACACCATGATCAAGTGGGATTTATACCAGGGACACAGGGATGGTTCGACATCTGCAAGTCAATCAACGTGATTCACTACATTAACAAAATGAGAAACAAAAACCACATGATCATCTCAAAAGATGCAGAGAAAGCATTTGACAAGATCCAACATCAATTTATGATAAAAACTGTCAATAAAATAGGTATAGAAGTAAAGTACCTCAACATAATAAAGGCCATATATGACAAACCCACAGCCAACATCATACTCAATGGACAAAAACTGAAACCCATCCCTCTCAGAACAGGAACAAGACAAGGGTGCCCACTTTCACCACTCTTATTCAACATAGTACTGGAGGTTTTGGCCAGAGCAATTCGGCAGGAAATAGAAATAAAAGGAATCCAAATAGGCAACGAAGAAGTAAAACTCTCGCTGTTTGCAGACAACATGATCTTATATATAGAAAACCCCAAAGAATCCATAGAAAAACTATTAGAAACAATCAACAACTACAGCAAAGTTGCAGGGTATAAAATCAATTTGCATAAATCAGTAGCATTTCTATATGCTACCAATGAACTAACAGAAAAAGATCTCAAGAACTCAATCCCATTCACGATCGCAAGAAAAAGAATAAAATACCTTGGGATAAATTTAACCAAGGAAGTGAAAGATCTATACAATGAAAACTACAAGACCTTCTTGAAAGAAATTGACGACGACATAAAGAGATGGAAAGACATTCCATGTACATGGATTGGAAGAATAAACATAGTTAAAATGTCCATACTACCTAAAGCAATCTACAGATTCAACACTATCCCAATCAGAATTCCAATGTCATTCTTTACAGAAATTGAACAAAGAATCCTAAAATTCATATGGGGCAACAAAAGACCCCAAATTGCTAAAGCAATCCTGAAAAAGAAGAACAAAGCTGGAGGCATCACAATCCCTGACTTCAAAACATACTACAAAGCTACAGTAATCAAAACAGCATGGTACTGGTACAAAAACAGATGCACAGATCAATGAAACAGAATTGAAAGCCCAGAAATAAAACCACACATCTATGGACAGCTAATCTTTGACAAAGGAGCTGAGGGCCTACAATGGAGGAAAGGAAGTCTCTTCAACAAATGGTGCTGGGAAAACTGGAAAGCCACATGTAAAAGAATGAAAATCAACCATTCTTTTTCACCATTTACTAAAATAAACTCAAAATGGATCAAAGACCTAAAGATTAGGCCTGAAACAATAAGTCTTCTAGAAGAGAATATCGGCAGTACACTCTTTGACATCAACTTCAAAAGAATCTTTTCGGACACCATAACCCCTCACATGAGGGAAACAATAGAAAGAATAAACAAATGGGACTTCATCAGACTAAAGAGCTACTTCAAGGCAAGGGAAAACAGGATTGAAACAAAAAAACAGCCCACTAGTTGGGAAAAAATATTCACAAGTTATTTATCCAACAAAGGGTTAATCTCCATAATATACAAAGAACTCACACAACTCAACAATAAAAAATCAAACAACCCAATTACAAAATGGGCAGGGGACATGAACAGACATTTCTCCAAAGAAGATACACGGATGGCCAATAGACACATGAAAAGATGCTCATCATCACTAATCATCAGGGAAATGCAAATCAAAACTACACTAAGATATCACCTTACACCTGTTAGAATGGCAAAAATATCCAAAATCAAGAGTGGCAAATGTTGGAGAGGTTGTGGAGAAAAGGGAACACTGAGACATTGTTGGTGGGAAGGCAAACTGGTGCAGCCACTATGGAAAACAGTATGGAGATTCCTCAAAAAGTTAAGAATAGAAAAACCTTATGACCCAGCCATCCCACTACTGGGTATCTATCCTAAGAACCTGAAATCAGCAATTCCAAAAGTTCCATGCACCCCTATGTTCATTGCAGCACTATTCACAATAGCCAAGTCATGGAACCAACCTAAGTGCCCAGCAACTGATGATTGAATAAAGAAGATGTGGTATATATATACAATGGAATACTACTCAGCCATAAAAAAGGACAAAGTCGTCCCATTCACAACAACATGGATAGACCTTGAGGGTATTATGTTGAGTGAAATAAGCCAGACAGAGAAAGACGAACTCTGTATGACTCCACTCATAGGTGGTAGTTAACATATGGACAAAGAGAACTGATCAGTGGTTGCCAGGGGAAAGGGGGGTTGGGGGAGGGCACTAGGGGTGAAGTGGTGTACCTACAACATGACTAATAATGATGTACAACTGTAATTTCACAAGGATGTTAACTTTCATAACCTTAATAAAAAAAAAGAGAAAAATACATATCAACTGATGACAGCAAATTACCCTCTGGGAAAGAATCTGGGGTAAAGAGAAGTATTCAAGGGGGCCTTATACTTCATTTCTCTTGTTGAAATCTTTTATAACAAAATATTCATTTATATTTACGTAATTTTTGTAATGAAAAAATAAAACAAATACTTGTAAAAAAAATCCATACACACACAAATATTTAAAATAAACAGGAACCATATTCTTCTCCCCAATCCCACTCAATTCAGAGGGATCCAGCTTCCTTCAACAGTTCGAGATATAACCAAGCAAACTTTTCCCTACATTACTTAAAACTTTTACATATACAAGCAGATGTATATGTGCACATACATGTACAGACACACATGCATGTGTGTATACATTACTATAGATGTGATAACATGTATACATATGTGTACCATATGCACACATGGACATAAGCCCATGTTTCCAAAATGAGATGGTTACAATGGCAAAAACTGCATACAATAGGGTAGTAGTTTAGGTAAACTGTATCATATCAAGTTAAAGAAGTATTATTCAGCTATGACAGACAATGGGGTTATGGGTTAGAATTTGGGTATGAGTACTGGGGTAGAAGTGATATTTTCTCTTGTGTTTTCTAAGTTTTCTATAATAACTATAGATTGCATAGTGGCAATAAAACCTTTTTAAAAAATAAAAATCAAAGGAGAGAATGCTTTCTGAAATAAAACATGAAGAACATAAAGTGCTAAACAAATATAAGGCTTCATATTGTTAGCACACATAAAACAATATGACAAACTCACATTTCATATATCATCACTTACCAATTCCACTGTCATCTAATCGCATGTAGCCTTCTGCAAGTGAGCTGAAGCCAGTTAATCCTCCCATTGCTGCATAAGGAACATCCTGTCCCACTGGTTTTCCCTGAGCCAGTCTTTCTTGCTTAGTTTCCACTACTGTGTCATGGGCATATGCAGGCTGACCACAAGCACAAGTGAAGCAACTATGGAATCCTGAACACTTGGAACCTGAATTAAGATGTAAAGGAAAGTAAATGTTTCTAAATATAGGTACTGAGCTGTTGCCCTAAAAATGCTTAGCTTAGCCAAAATCACCTGAATCTGGATCCCTCATACACAGTCCTCTGGCCCTGTAACTCCACCTCCAGCCCCTGGACTCCCTCTCAGCCACTGATCACACTTCTTAAAGATGCTAAAGTGGTAAAGGGGTATGTAGTAGAAAAAAAACATACTGGAAAAACCAACTGGGATTAAAAGAAATTGGGTTAAACACTGGAAAGCCAGGAAATGCAGGCCCCCTCCTCAAATACTGAGTTAAAAGCAGGTGTGGCAGGGACAGCGCAGGGGCCAGGACCAGGTGAAGAGAGAATGTGGAAACCTCCTTGTGGACCAATTCCCAAAAAAAGCCATATTGGAAGGCCTACCCACAGACATAGAAAGGATGCAATGGAATATTATTTAACAAAAAAAGGAAAGAATACTGATACACACTACAACATGGATGAATCATAAAAAGATTATGCTAAGTGAAAGAAGCCAGCCACAAAAGACCACATATTCTATGATTCCATTAATATGAAATGTCTAGAATAAGAAATCCAGAGAAACAGAAAGTAGACTATTGGTTGGCTAGGGATGGAGGGAGGGAGGAATAAGGAATGACTGCTAATGGATATGGAGTTTCTTTTTTGTGGTGACTAAAATGTTCTAAAATTTATTGGGGTGATGGTTGCACAACTCTGTGAATATATTAAAAGCCATTAAATTGCCTCCTAGAAATGGATAAGTTGCGTGTGTGTGAATTATATCTTAATAAAATTATTATATTTTAAAAAGCCATATTGAAATGGAGGCCAGAATACACCATTAATAAAATCTTTACACACTCACACTTCTGACAAATGTGTATGAGAACCAAGGCACATAACAAATGAGTTTTATCCAACTACTTCAATACTTAGCCAATGAAACAGATCTAATCCTGCCATCGTCATTAAAAATGTTTTATAACATATTTCATCATAAAATTTCAATTCAAAGTACTACAACTGGAATAACTATCCCCTGAAGAAAAATACTGGACTAATATCCTACCTATTTCAAAGGGTTTTTAAAAGGAGGATTAAGCAAAAGGGCATGTGAGATAGGGGCTGGAATTTGGGTATAGATATTGAGGTAATGGTGCTATTCCACAGAAAGTGTTAAAATTATCTTGTTACATTTTGATTTTCCCATCAGCCTATGTTTTAGGCAATAACAATAATCTACCAGCAAATTATAAACTTTTTTCTGACTTATAAAATCTTTTTTAAAAACTTGTAAATAGGATTTAGTTGATAAAATTCCCCCATTCAAAAATTTGAATCAGATCACGTGTAGTGATTCTTTAAAATCTTTGACTACAGCACAGCCAGAAGGACCCACAACTAGAACATACAACTATGTACTGCGGGGCTTTGGGAGAAGAAGAAATGAAAAAAAAAAGAAGATTGGCAACAGATGTTTGTTCAGGTGTCAATCTTAAAAAAAAATCTTTTACTATTACTTATTTGAATTGTATGAGATTAGGGTTTATGAGTACAAAGCATACAAATAACTCTGAGTTTTCCCACAACAATAAAACTTTAGAGTAGCTACCCATCAAATTTTTCTTGGTTGCTTAATACTCTACAGCTGAATAAAACTGGCACAAAGACACATTAAATATTCAATAAAGAAATAAAAATATTTTGTTTGTGTGTTTATAACAATGCAACTCACAGGCATTGCATATAAAGCCAGGCGCAGCACTGTGCTGATCAGCAAAGTGCTTGCACCTGCAGCGAACGGGCTGTGCACCATTCAAAGGGACATAGAGGTAAGCTCCACACTGGCAGCCAGTCACTCGGCAAGGCAGGCTAAGGGGGCGCTGCTGTGGAATCGTTCTGAAGTCAGTTTTATGTTGCTTATACCTAAAAACAATAAAAGGGAATAAATAATATTAATAATAAAAAAATAAAAGGGAAAAACATATTGCAAGTATTGCCAGGGATTACAATTTCTCTTCTGTTATATACAAAACGCTTCTTTCTTATTTTTATTTTTGTTTCGCTGTTCTTGTTAGTAAGGCGAAAATAAACTCCCCTATATGCAGTATTTCTGTCAGCCATGTTGCTTTGGTCAGGGAAAATCTCCAGTCTTTACATTTTTATTTTCAGTTATTTAAGAAGAATTTTCACAGCAATATACAAAGAATTATCATATAATTCCCTTAAAATACTTACCACTATAGATTCTTTAATATGCAAGACAACCTAAGAGTATGAAAAAAGTTTGTTATAAAAATTCTTTTTATCAAAGTGCATGACTTGCATTTATTTTCACAGGTTTGCTATTTAAAAGTGAAATAAGTTTAATAAACATATAATTAATAGGATGTCATCATCATGGCAGCATGAGAAAATCCCTTTGTCCCTCCTTCCATCTACAGTGAGTAAAACATCCATAACCCAACAAAGGCTCCACTGCCCAACAGATCAGGATGCCGGAGACATCATACATTGGTACACACAAAGGTGAGTGGGTTGGAGCACAGAGAGGAGGCTAAACAGGGGAACAGCAGAGGCAGAACCCAAGATGCTGGATCCCTGGCCACAGCAGCTGAGCCAGCCATCCCCAGCCCCAGAGAAGTTGGTAGGCAGCAGCAGAGGCACACATGCAACTCCTGCAGCCACAGGGAATGGAGCAGCAGTGGAGGTGGAGCCCAGTGATTCCAGGCTCAGCTCAGACCCTGGTAGCAGCAGCAAAGGTGTGCATGGCACTCCTACATCCCAACAACAGTGGCATGTGTCACCACAAGGTAACAGGAAACAGCTGAGACAGCGCCCTGTGTACCAGGTTCCCTCCCCACACTTCTCCTACCATGGCAGCTGAGCTTCCAATCCAGATGATCCCAGACACGGCTGAGGTGCCAGCCATTCCTGTAGCCCCAGCAGCAAAATCAGTGACCACAGCAACACAAGCAACAGCAAGGCATCAGTGACCCCCAGAAGCGCAAGCAGTAATGAAGAGAGTACCAGCAACTGCCCCAATAGAGGCAGTGGAGGGTGGAATGTGCAAATCCTCAAATATAGCCAGAGGCAGCTGATGTAATAGATACTAAAAACTAGTGCTGCAGCACCACCTACTGAAAAACAAAAGAAAGCCTTCTAATCTCTAAGCAGTTGAAAAATTTGAATCAAAACAAAGCTATACCTAAATAAAAAACATGTTTGCTACAAATGCACCAGCAGAGGTATAACTCAGCAAGCACCACAAAAAGCCACGGTACCAGAGCATTACAAAAAGAAAACAATTCTCTAGAAACTAAACATAAAGTCATAGAATATTGTGATCTAACTGATAAAGAATTTAAAATAGCTGTCATGAAGAAACTCAGCAAGCTACAAGAAAACTCAGTAAGGCAGTTCAATGAGCTCAAGAATAAAATCAATGAACAGAAAGACCAAAGAGATTGAAACTCTAAAAAAGAACCAAACGGAAATTCTAGAGCTGAAGAACTCAATAAATGTGACAACGAATGAATTAGAAAGCATTGGAAATAGAGCAGATGTCACAGAAGACAGAATTAGTGAGCTTGAAGATAGGAACCTAGAAATGATGCAGGTAGAAAAGGAGAGAGAACGAAGAATCAAAAAAAAAAAATGTTGAAACTCTATGAGAATTATCCAACTCCATTAGAAAGAGCAACTTAAGGGTAACGGGTATCCCAGAAGGAGAAGAGAGAGAGAAGGGAGTAGAGAGCTTATTTAAAGAAATAATAGCTGAGAACTTCCCAAACCTGCAGAAGGAACTGGATATAAAAATCCATAGGGGCTGACCCCATGGCCTAGTGGTTAAAGTTACACATGCCCCACTTCAGTGGCCTGGGGTTCGTGGGTTTGGATCCTCAGTGTGGACCTACTCTATTCATCAGCCATGCTGTGGAGGCATCCCACATACAAAGTAGAGGAAGACTGGCTTAGATATTAGCTCAGGGCTAATCTTCCTCAAGCAAAAAAAAAAAAAAAACGAGGAGGATTGGCAACGGATGTTAGCTCAGGGCGAATCTTCCTCACAAAAAAGAAAAAAACAAAATCCATTAAGCTAATAGAACACCCAATTATTGCAACACAAAAAGAACTTTTCCAAGATACATGATAATAAAACTGTCAAAAATCAATGACAAAGAAAAAATATTAAAAGCAGCCAGGGAGAAAAAGAAAACAACCTACATGGGAATCCTCATTAGGCTTTAAGCAGATTTCTCATTAGAAACCCTACAGGTCAGGAGAGAATGGAAAGATATATTCAAAATATTGAAAGATAAAAATTTTCAGCCAAGAATACTCTATCCAGCAGAGTTGTCTTTCAGATATAAAGGAGTGAGGGAGAAATAATGGCTTTCCCACACAAACAAAACTAAGGGAGTTCACCACCACTAGACCTGCCTGTATATAAGATGTGTTGAAAGAAGCTCTCCTACCTGAAACAAAAAGGCAACAATATACAAAGCTTTCAGCAACATGATAAATAGATGGAATGAGAAAGTTGCAAATCTGTATCAAAATAAGGTAGTAAATGCTTAATTATAACATAAAGGTTAAAGGGAAAGGAAGCATTAAAAATAACTATAACCACTTCAATTTGGTAACAAACTCACAATTCAAAAAGGGATAATTTTGGGGCCAGCCTGGTGGGACAGCAGTTAAGTTCGCATGTTCTGCTTCAGCAACCCGAGGTTCACCGGTTCGGATCCCAGGTGTGGACATGCCACCGCTTGTCAAGCCATGCTGTGGCAGGCGTCCCACATATAAAGTAGAGGAGGATGGGCACGGATGTTAGCTCAGGGCCAGTCTTCCTCAACAAAAAGAGGAGGATTGGCAGCAGTTAGCTCAAGACTAATCTTCCTCAAAAAAAAAAAAAAGGATAATTCCTGACAACAAAAACATAGATGGGAAGAAGAAAAGGACAGAATCTGCAAAGGCAAATAAAGATACAAAGCTATCAGCAGAAAAAGAACTATCTTATCTACGAGACCTTTTATACAAACCTCATGGTAACCACAAAACAAAAAATTCAGAACAGAGTCACAAAACACAACAAAGGGGAAACCGAGAAACACATTACAGAAAACCACCAAACTGAAATGGCAGACAGAAACACAAGGAAAAAGAAACAATGGAAATGTAGAACAACTAGAAATCAAAAGATAAAAGGGCAGTATTAAGCCCTCATATATCAATAATCACCCTAAATGTAAATGGATAGAATTCACTAATCAAGATACAGAGTGGCTGAAGGATTTAAAAACAAGACCCAACAATATGCTGCCTCCAGGAGACCCATCTCAGCTCTAAAGACAAACATAGGCTCAGAGTGGAAGGGATGGAAGATGATACTCAAAGCAAATGCCAACCAAAATAAAGTGGGTGTAGCCATACTTCTATCAGACAAAACAGACTTCAGGCCAAAGAAGATAACAAAAGATAGAGATAAACATTATATAATGAAAAAGGGGACTCTCCACTAAGAAGACATAACACTTATTAATATATACACACCTAACATAGGAGCACCAAAATATATAAAGCAATTATTAACAGACCTAAAGGGAGAAATTGACAGCAACACAATAAGAGTAGGGGACTTTAATACCCCACTTACATCAATGGATAGATCATCCATCCAGAAAGTCAACAAGGAAACATCAGCCTTAAATGAAACATTAGACCAGGAGAACTTTATATATATATATATATATATATAACATCCCATCCAAAAGCAGCAGAATACACATTCTTCCCAAGTGCACGTGGAACATTCTTAAAGATAGACCACATGTTGGGAAACAAAACAAGACTCGACAAATTTAAGAAGATGGAAATCATATCAAGCATCTTTTCCAACCACAGTGGTATGAAACTAGAAATCCACTACAAGAAAAAAGCTGGGAAAGTCACAAATATGTGGAGACTAAACAACATGCTACTGAACAACTATAGGATCAATGAGGAAATCAAAGGAGAAATCAAAAAATACCTGGAAACAAATGAAGATGAAAACACAACATATCTAAATCTATGGAATTCAGGAAAAGCAGTAGTAAGACAGAAGTTTATAGAAATACAGGCCTATCTCAACAAACAAGACAAATATGAAATAAACAAACTAACATTACATCTAAAGGAAATGGAAAAAGAAGAACAAAGCCCAAAATCAGTAGAAGGAAGGAAATAATAAAAATCAGAGCAGAAATAAATGATATAGACACTAAAAGGACAATAGAAAGGATCAATGAAACTAACAATGGTTCTCTGAAAAGACAAACAAAAGTGACAAACATTTAGCTAGACTCAATAAGAAAAAAAGGAGAGAAGGCTCAAATAAATAAAATCAGAAATCAAAAAGTAGAAATTACAATGGACACCACAGAAATACAAAAATTATAAGAGAATACTATGAAAAGCTATACGCCAACAAACTGGATAACCTAGAAGAAACAGATAATTCCTAGAATTATACAACTTTCCAAACTGAATCAAGAAGAAATATAGAATCTGAACAGACCAATCATTAGTAAAGACAGTCAAACAGTAATAAAAAAGCCTCCCAAAAAACAAAAGTCCAGGACCAGACAGCTTCCCCAGTAAATTCTACCAAACATTCAAAGAAGATTTAACACCCATCCTTCTCAAACTCTTCCAAAAAAACGAAGAGGAGGGGATGCTTCTTAACTCATTTTATAAGACCAATATTACCTCGATACCAAAACCATACAAGGATGACACAAAAAACGAAAATTACAGGACAATATCACTCATGAACGTAGATCCAAAAATCCTCAACAAAATATTAGCAAATCGAATATGGCAATACATTAAAAGGATCCTACACCACAATCAAGTGGGATTTATTCTGAGGATGCAAGATGGTTCAAAATCCACAAATCAATCAACGTGATACACCACATTAACAAAATGAAAATCACATGACCATCTCAATAGATGCAGAGAAAGCATTCAACAAGATATAGCATCCATTTATGATAAAAAATCTCAATAAAATGGGTGTAGAAGGAAAATATCTCAACATAATAAAGGCCATATATGACAAACCCACAGCTAACATCATACTCAACAGTGAAAAACTGAAAGCTATCTCCCTAAGAACAGGAACAAGACAAGGATACCCACTCTCATAGTATTCAACATAGTATGAGAAGTCCTAACCAGTGCAATTAGCCACGAAAAAGAAATAAAAGGTATACAAATTGGAAAGGAAGAAACAAAACTGTCACTATTTATGGATGACATGATTCTTAGAGAAAACTCTAAAGAATCCACCAAAAAAACTATCAGAAATAATAAATGAATACAGTAAATTTGTAGGGTAACAAAATCAACATACAAATATCAGTTGTGTTTCTATACACTAACAATGAACTAGCAGAAAGATTGAGACTACAATCCCATTTACAATCACAATGAAAAGAATAAAATACCTAGGAATAAACTTAACCAAGGAGGTAAATACCTATACACTGACGACTATACAACATTGTTGAAAGAAATCGAAGAAGATGCAAAGAAATGGAAAGATATTTTGTGCTCATGGACTGGAAGAATTAACATAGTTAACATGTTTATATCACCTAAAGCAATCCACAGACAACATGCAATCCTTATCAAAATCCCAACAACATTTTTCACAAAAATAGAACAAAGAATCCTAAAATTTATATGGAACAAAAGATCCCAAATAGCCAAAGGAATCCTGAGAAAAAATTATAAAGCTGGACGTATCACACTCCCTGATTTTAAAATATACTAGAAAGCTATAGTAATCAAAACAACTTGGTACTGGCAGAAAAACATACACACAGATCAAGAGAACAGAATTGAGAGCCTAGAAGTAAACCCACCCATCTATGGACAGCTAATTTTCAACAAGGGAGCCAAAAACATACAATGGAGAAAGGAAAGTCTTTTCAATAAACGGTGTTGGGAAAACTAGACAGCCACATGCAAAAGAATGAAAGTAGACCATTATCTTACACCATACACAAAAATTAACTCAAAATGAACTAAAGACTTGAATGTAAGATCGGAAACCATAAAACTCTGAGAAAAAAAGACCAGCAACATACTCCTTGACATCAGACTGAGCAGAATCTTTTTGATTATGTCTCCTCAGGCAAGGGAAATAAAAGAAAAAATAAACAAATGGGATTACATCAAACTAAAAAGGATCTGCTCAGCAAAGGAAACCATTAACAAAATGAAAAGATAACCTACAATTGGGAGAAGATATTTGTAAATTATACATCCATAAAAGGGTTAATATCCAAAATATATAACGAATTCATACAACTCAATATCAAACAAACAAACAACCCAATTAAAGAATGGGCAGATAATATCTGAACAGATATTTTTCCAAAGAAAATATATAGATGGCCAACAGGCACATGAAAAGATGTTCAACTTCACTAATTATTAGGGAAATGCAAATCAAAACCACAGTGAGATATTACCTCACACTCGTCAGAATGGCTATTATTAAAAAGACAACAAATAACAAGTGTTGGAGAGGTTGTGGAGAAAAGAGAACCCTCGTACACTGCTGGTGGGAATGTAAATTGGTGTAACCACTAAGGAAAACAGTATGAAGCTTTTTAAAAATTAAAAATAAAACTACCATATTATCCAGCTATTCCTCTTCTGAGTATTTATCCAAAGAACACAAAAATACTAATTCAAGAAGACATATGAACCCCTATGTTCATTGCAGCATTATTCACAATAGCCAAGACTTGGAAATAACCTAATGCACATCAACAAATGAATGGATAAAGAAGATATAGTATGTACACACAATGGAATACTACTCAGCCATAAAAAGGTTGAAATTTTGCCATTTGTGACAACACGGATGGACCTTAAGGGTATTATGCTAAGTGAAAAAAAGCCAAATAGAGAAAGCCAAATACCACATGATTTCACTCATATGTGGAAGATAAACAAAAATACAGATACAGAGAACGAATTGGTGGTTACCAGGGGGAAATGGGGGTTAGGGATGGCAAAACAGGTAAAGGGGCATATGCGTACAGTGACAGATGGCAACTAGACTTTTGGTGGGGAACACAATGTAGTCTATACAGAAGGCAAAATATAATGAGGTACATCTGAAATTTACACAGTGTTATAAATCAATGTTATCTCAATTTAAAAAAGGCTTATTGCATAAATGATTAAAAAATTAAATGTAATCAAAATAAACTGAATTTATAAAAATATATTTTAATATAATTTAATTTTTAACTTCAAGATAAATTATCAACATTTTCAAAAGACAAAGCTCTACATTAAAACACTGTAAGTAATTTTCTTAAATAGACCACTTGCGTTCTTCTCATAAGATGGTACTCAGTAAAATAATACTAAATGTATTATTCTCAATATTAATTTCAGTAACAGAAGTTAAAATAACAATGAGATATCATTTTTCACTTAGCAAGAAGAGCCAAACTATACATAATTTTTAAACTATATGCAATTCACAATGCCGTCAAGAGAGTTACAGAAGAACCAATCCCACAAAATAATGTTTTAAGAAACTTAAAAAGATCCATCCTTTAACCTAGACAGCTCTTTTTTAGAAAATATACCCTAAGAAAATAATTCCATGTATAGAAAGAGCTTTGTGCATAAAGTTAGTAGTAGCAACAATACCTAAAACTGGCAAAAAATATATGTACACACACATACTCAACATACTAATAATAAGGGAATGGATAAGCGAGTTACTAGACAATAATTTTCAAATTTTTTAGCAGTGAAACCCTTTCTTCAAATAAAATCTTTTACAGAATCATAATATATAAAATAGGTAAAGGCAGAATTGGTTAAAGCAAGGGAAAGGGCCAGAATTGGAGTCTGTCCTTCCTCTAACCTGCCTGTCCACCTGGTACACCCTGAGACGCCCTCACAGCTCTGGAGGACACCATGAACACCACTGGACCAGCCGGAATACCGAGAAGGATTAACAGTCTTGTTTACAATTACTGCATAACAATGTGGAAACATATTTCTGTGACTCTGTCAAGAAAAACTGGTTTAATATTTATACGCACACATTTAACAACTAAATGAACTACGTAAGGAAAAAATTACACGAATATAGTAAAACATAGGGACAGCGGGTGGCTTCTGGCGGTGAGTCTTCTTTCAACTATTCTATATATTCCTCTTTTACTTTAATAACCATGTTTCAGTTTTAGGGAAAAAAAAAATTTAGACAGAGATCTCACTGGGTGACTAGTACTAAAGAAAACTTTTCCATCGAAGTTGGGTTGGGTCCATTTTGAAGGCTAATTCCATGCTGTATAATCATACATTGATAAGAGACTGGCACTAAATTTGTACAAGAATAAATCGTAAAACTAACACAAATTCACCAAACTCCTCTGTAATTCCAAAAGATATCAATGTAACCCTCATCCTCCATTCCTCCAGTGTTTTTACTTGGGGTTGCTACATAAGTTTCAAGACAAGCTATACACAACATTACTCATCCTAGCAACTGCCTAACAACCTTTGGCAAACTGCAAGTCTGTAAACAGCAAGTAGACAAAGAGTCTCTCATCAGAGAGCCCCAGAAACTAACAGAACAGGGCAGTCCTCCTTCTGCTGTTCCTGGGGAACAGAAAGTTACAGTTGTTACCTAAAAACATATTATGGGTTCAGTGATTTTTCCGTGAAGCAGCTTTGTCCTTTGGAGCTTTACAACCAGGACCTCTGACAGCAGGAAAATTTAAAGTAGAACATGACAAATAGCCAAACGCAAACCTCAGGTACAGCCAACACACATCAATGACTTGAAGCCTCATGTATTCCTTCCTTCCATGTGCTTTCCCTGGAAAAGGACCACTTGTAATAAAAAGCTGTGTGCTTATATTTTTGTTTGGTTAAAAAAAGATATCAACACAACACATTTCTTAAAGTGTAAAGGAAGATTAGTACATTTGAGGAGAAATCCTTCTATTTGTAGACTGGTAACCTGTTCAGGGTGGGTCAAATTAAGCAACTCTTACAGCAGTTGTTCAGTCTGACGACCCATCCTCCACTACCTTGTCCGGTGGTGGGAGAAGCAGACTGCTCCCAGCCTAATTGAAAGAGCCCTGGCAAAGCCACAGGGGCACCACATCTTTCTTAGCAATGGAGAGAGAAGAGACGCTTAAAGTGATGGACTCCATAGGGAATTCTAATAGAATAGAAAAGAAATTTTTATATTATAGCAAAGAAAACCACTTTAGATAATTTCCAGCATATTATATAATGGCCTGTTTTTTAATGTTTCTCAATTATCACACATAATGTTATTTATAGAAGGAAGATATGCTCTGCTACAGTTTTATATTTTCTAATCACCAGAAAACTTAGAAATAAAATATCTTACCTATGTGTACAAAAACACAGTGTCTCAGGACCCACAAGTTTACAATCCATTCCAGTTGGTGATCGCCAGCTCACAAATAATCTGTTCTCTGAGCGCATAGGTAAAACTTTTCTTTTGTATTCTTCATATTCTTCTGGAGTAAAAAGTTTCCCTCCATCGTCCTCACCAACAATCCTAAAAAAAAAAAACAAAACAAAACTTCTCAAGCCCTGAGTATTTATTTTGCAGGTTAAAAATACTAAACCCTAAAAGTAAACTATACTTGTATAGTCAAAAGAAAGGCTGCTTCAGCTTTGACTTTTTTTTTTTTTTTACTTTAGTCTCATATTTCCTTCCTTCCTTCCTTCCTTCCTCCCTCCCTCCCTCCTTTCTTCCTTCTTTTTTGTGGTGAGGAAGATTGGCCCCGAGTGAACATCTGTTACTAATCTTCCTCTTTTTTTTTTCTTCTCCCCAAAGCCCCATACATAGTTGTATATGCTAGTTGTAGGTCATTCTAGTTCTTCTATGTGGGATGCCACCACAGCATGGTTGATGAGCAGTGCGTAGGTCCACACCCAGGATCATGAACCAGTGAACCATGGGTCGCCTAAGTAGAGTGCACGGGCGAACTTAACCACTCGGCCACGGGGCTGGCCCCTAAGCTCATATTAATAGCAAAATTACACACAATGGTAATAAAGCTTTTGCTCCCCATATCAAAGAGGATTATAAATAAGACAGTCAATGAATTTGTAACATCTGACTTTGATTAAGGTTCACCACTGGAGAATTACCACATATTCATCTCAACTTCTCCTTCGTTTCTGAAGGAGAACATGCCTAGTCTTCTCATTAAAAGCTGGAGCCTAAACTGCTAAAAATTTTAACATTTTCCTCCTTTATAAATAGTACCCCTCCCCGCAAAAAAACAGAACAAAAAACATCAACACAGAAGACATGACTAATGTGCACACCTGAATCCAAACGCTGGCTAGGAACTTAAACTCATGTGGGACCCACAAACACCCCTGGACCTGCACAAGCTCAAACCCACATGTGTGTTGGGTAATCAGGCGCATGATTTTTTAATTCCAGAAGCAAGACCTCAAAATCTTATGGGAAAAATTAATCCACCGCTATTTCTTAATTTCTTAAGAAATTAAGAGTTGGCTTCCCCAGAGAAGAAGGAAGCACAATTAAAAGAATCTGTTCAAAACTGAAGAAACTTCTTGAAAATACCCCCCTTTAAAAGTCATGAAAAGTGTTGTTTGAAGAATGATCCAGAATGTTTTGTGCAATCCATACCTTCTTCCATACTTTCAAGCCTTTAGCTGAAGTAGATAAATAAAACCAATTCAGAAGCTATGAAATCATCACACCCTTCTTCCTTAAATAATTTAGATACACAAGAGAGAAAAAACAAAGGGAATTTTATTCTGAGATAAGTTCTAGGCCATTTCACTTTTATAATAGCTACCAAGAAGTACACCAACAGGTACTGGAAAGACTTTAAGATCAGCGCAGATCTTTAAAGAAAAAGATCATTTGTATTTAAGTTCTGAACCAATCCAGTTCAAACTTTGTTGCATTTACGGAACCCCCGAGGGATCCAGTTCAAATGCAGATTCAGATTAATAGGTCTGGAGTGGGCCTGAGAGTCTGCATTTCTAATAAGCTCCCAGGTGATGTCTACACCAATGGTCCATGATTACCACACTTTGAGTAGCACGGCTCTACCTTTTATAGCAAATTGTTTCAGGTTAGCTATGTTTGCAAAAATAATTTCCCACCAGGCCCTAACATTTTCTGGGCCACGCAAGAGACTACAGCTGGAGGCCCACACTCCACATATCTAAATATCTTAAGTTATCAGTCAAAACCAGGGCCCAGCAACTTGTTCCCAGGGAAAAGCCCTGGAGACTCAGGGGCCAGCTCTGCCTTGGGTGAGGGCTGGGTGGAAGCCGTCCTGACATAGGACTCCTGGAGCTACCTGGACCCACCTGAACCGGGCATGAGGCCTGACGCACCAAGCTCCTCACCCTCACTTTTCTGGCTCAGAACTACCAGGCATTTCTAGGCATTACCCAAACTATACCACCGAGACAGTCAGAGGGGGTGCAGTCAGCATGTGAACTCTTGGGTGATTTGGGGTGACCACTTTTAAGTGGAGCAGCCCCCCTTGCTCAATGAGGTTTCCCAGGCAGAGCTGTGATTGTCTCACTTCCCGGTTATACACAAACATTCCACACACACACACACCCGCATCCTCCTGCTTGTCCCTCTCCAGTAATTCCCACTCACCCACTTCCCCAACTATCAAAACCTTTCTTCGGATGCCGGCCAAAAGAACAGGTCGCCGCAGGTGCACTGGCCTCTGTCAAGGCCCGGGGCAGTGAGTCGTGTTCTCAAGCCAAAGAGGCAGCTGCTTCTCCAGCTTCTGGAGAGGAGTTTCTCCAGAACCACGGAAACTACACCAGTCGGTGTCTTTCTCCTAAAACCAGCCCTTTGGGGTTGGGAGCACGCTTGGAATTTCACCACTCATCCCATTACTAAACTACCATGCCAACTGGACGTCTGCTAAGTTCATAGGCCCCGAGTATTCCATGTGTAATTCTTCAATGGCCATTTAGAAAAAAACAACTGGACCTCTGCATAAATCTAGAGTTACTAATCCTTGTGGGAAGCGGTCGCTGCGGGAGACCTCTTAAACCGCCTTGGAAGAGACTGACTGGAATAGAACTGCCCGTCATTCAAATACTCAATTACAGAAAGACAAAACTTGACATCGACGTAAGCCTCCCCCAACAGCCCGGGGACGGATTCCGAGCGTGCCACCTGCGCTCCCTGGGGCGAGGGGCCCGGCCGCCCGAGGCCTCGCCGCCCCGCGGAGCCGCCGCCTCACCTCCGGTACTCCAGGTACTCGTCCAGCGCCGCCGCGCCGCCGGCGGGGAACGTCAGCCGCTCCATGGCCGCCGGGGAAGGGAGCCGCACCCGCCCTGCGCCCGCCAGTGCGCGAGCAGACCGCCGAGCGGCCACGCCCCCGCCCGGCCGCCTCCCCATTGGCCCGGCCCGAAGACCGCGGCGTCGGCGCAGGGCGCGCGCTTCCACCTGGCCGCCCGCGCCGGGCGCGAGGAGCGCGCTGTCTCCAAGCCAGCCCCGGCCGACAGGGGGTGCTGTTTACCGCCCTCCCCAAAGCTTGCCGCTGACGCTTCTCCCTTTCACGGGTCTGGCAGGACTCTTTGTAAAGGAACAAGTGACAAGGGCGTGCAATACCTCGCATGAATGCACGCACGGACGTGGCTTATTTCTTTGTGCAGAGATTTTCGCTGGTTTTGAGAAAGTTCTGGATAGTTTCAGGACCCCCTCCCCATAATCACCAGCCGTGTTTTCAAAATTGGCGTTTAAAAACCTGTGACGTGTAATCAATAGTCCTGCCTCCAGTTTGGCTGTCACGAAAGCAACATGTTCTTCAAAGGAAGTGAAAAGCGGGTTTAAGGGGAAATAAATAGAAACCATTTGGTTAAGATTTTTTAAAACCTTTGGAAATAGCCACAAAATCTTTTTTTTTAAGTTGAATTACCTTGCGATTGGTGATTTGTCCATAATTTGGTTTAGCAACCTGGAAAAGGGGTCGGAAATCCATCGTTACTCAGGAGTCTAAACTCTCAGGCTCCCTGGGGATCAGCTTGAGCGCCCTCTGTAAATTATCTGAGAGGGAGAACCGGCAAACAAGAAAAATAATTCATTGAACTACAATACTTTATTCCAAAAATACTTTCCCGAATATTTCTGGTCCAAAAAACAAAATATTATGTAGACAGATTGTTTAGGTGCTCCTCCTACCTCCCTTTTCACTGTCCTTTCTTCACTTCTAAAGTCGTCCTCCTCTCAAGGCGATCCCATTCCCACTTTGATGTCCTCACTACCTTTTGTTAATTACTCTCCACGAGTGTTATCTCCTAACTCAGCCTTAGCCAATAAACTTTCAAGTCTCTGGAACATATTTGCATTTTATAGAGAGGTTTTAAGGTTAAAAAATCTTTCAACACTCAGATAAAGGAGTGATCCTGAAATGGGGTTATTTTAGGGGAAGGAGCCCTGCTCAGTACTCTCCCCAGTCACGCCCTGTGGGGCACTGCTACCAGATTTCTCGTTATGAGCACCTAGCCCTACTTTAGGCAGCAGCTAGACTAACAAATACAAATAGCAGAAAGTGCTAGGCTATGTGAGCTTATAGACTAGTGGCAGGGGAGTATCTAGGGAGGCAAATACAATTTAATAAATCTAGAGGTAAATAATTAAAATAGGCTTGGTGTAACTGTGGACTCTTCCAGGAATAAGCTGAAGCAGTAAACTCTTCTGACCAAAGAAGTCAACAAAAATATTAGACGTGACAAATAAGACTATGAAAAAAATAGAAAATGTTATCCTAACCTTGTATAAAACTCACACCGTTGCTAATCAGAATACTGTATATGGATTTGACTTCTACTTTAATAAACAAGTATAATGGCACTATAATTTCCTCCCGAAAGGTAGCTAAATCGATCTAGGAAGTAGGATAGACAAAAGGACTTGAAATTTGCCTAGACAACTGTTAGATATTTTACATATATAGTCTTCATAAAATGAGATAGGTATTATCAGCATTTTGCAGTGATGTATAAGTTAGGAATGCTATCTTCTGCAAATAACAGAATAATTCAACTAACAGTGGCTTAATTAAACATAGGGGTTTTTGTTACTTTAAAGAAGTGTTGGGGTAGGCCGTTGCTGGCATTGATTCAGGGCATTTCCTCCATGGTTGCAAGAGCTCCAGAAATCATATCAAACGAAGGAAGGAAGAAGGGGGATAACCAACATCATCTATTCCTTTTCTCATGTAAGAAAGAGTTTTCCTAGAAGCCCCTCTCCCAAAAGATTTTCACTTATGCATCACTGGCCAGAACTATGTCACATGTCCATCCTAGTTGTATAGAGGAGGCTGGGAAAGCCAGTAGAGTACTTAGGTTTTCCAGGCTCTATGATAGAGGTGGTCAAGGAGAGCGTTAGAAATGTGTGTTTGGTTAGTCAATCCATAGAGTCTGCCACAACTTACCTCTTGAACTGCTTAATACCTTTGCACACTCTTCTTCCTGTACAGACATCTTACATTGAATGCATTCGTTAGACCCCTAAGGAAGGCAACCCTAAAGTCTCAGTCAGCTACTGCACCCACCTTGAATTCTGGAGTCTGCAGTCTTCTCTATCAGTCATTCACTCTTAATGATTTGGCAGTTGAGAACTAAAAGACAAGACAGTTTTTTGTTCCACCACCCACCCACACACCCAATACCCAGTGATGAGGATAGAATAGGATAATTACAATAAAAACTGTAACTCAGAGAAAGGGAGAATGGGGAATACACAGAAGACACTAGTCCATGGCACATACCAAATCCTGCTGGGCAGGAACAGTAACGACTCCAAGTTCCAACAGTAGAGAAAGTTCCTTGAACAACCCATCAGATCAGTCAGCCTCGGATTCCATTATCTGGAAAGATGTCCCTTATCCATCCCCTTCCAGCTTCTGATGTACCTCTTTGGAAAATGTTCTTATTCCAAAGCCACCTGTGGCAGCATCTAATGTGGGCACTGAGGGAAAAGACTTTTCTGGTAGAATTGCACAACTTTCACAATCCCCTCCCTATCGGTGCAAATGCAAGATCCAGGGGATGTTAAGCAATGAAGACACATGAGCTTTTCCAGGCAGCCTTGAGATTATGGGGGTGGGGGGAATGGCAGGGGGGCAATATAGTTTCCTCAAAAATTTAGGAGGCTTCAAATGTTTTTATTTCTTTTGATCAGCTGTATGTATGAGTGACCACAGCCAAATACATGTTTAGACAAAATCAATTTTTCTTATTTTTATTTGAACTCTTATTACACATGCAAAAGCACATAAATAATGTATTTGCACAGTTTAGTTTTTTTATAATAAAATGAGCATCCAAGTAGTCACCATCCATCTTAAAAAATAGACCAACACAGGGGTGGGCCTGGTGGCCAAGTGGTTGGGTTCTCGCGCTCCACTTCAGCAGCCCAGGGTTTCACCAGTTTGGATCCTGGGTGTGGACCTAGCACTACTCATCAGGCCATGGTGAGGCAGTGTTCCACATAGTAGAACCAGAAGGACCTACAACTAGAATATACAACTATGTACTGGGGGGCTTTGGGGAGAAGACGAAAAAAAAGATTGACAGCAGATGTTAGCTCAGGGCCAATCTTAAAAAAAAAAAGAAATAGACCAATACCAGTATTATTGCTAATCTTTTCTTTCTTTTTTATGGAAAATTTATCCCTAAATCATATGTTTAATTTTGCATCCTTTTGAACGTCATAAGATTTGTTCTTCTGAAAATTGCTGTTGAAACCATCTTTGTGTTTTTGAGATTCATCAATTTTGATGTCTGTATTAGATTATCCTTGTTCATTTCTGAATAGGAATCAAGCAATTATATAAAATTTACTTATCCATTTTAGTATAATGGACATTTGGGTCGTTTCCAGTTTTTTCTTATTATAAACATTGCTATTATGAATATGCAACGTACATCTCTCCTGGTGCAAGTGTTTCTCTAGGGCATGCTGAAAACAATTTTATGATATGTAAATTATAACTCAATAGAGCTGTAAAAAAATATGCCTTAAAAAAACGTTTCTCTAGGACAATCATTTTCAGACTTGAGTGTACATTAAGGTCACCTGGAGGGCTTGTTCAAACTGACTGTTGACCCCACCCTCAGCTCTTCTGATTTAGAAGGTCTGCAGTGAGCTGAGAATTTTTATTTCTAATGCTACGCTGCTGGTCTGGAGATTCTTCTAGGTTATGTAGATAAGTGTAGAACTGCTCAGTCATGTGATATAGGCATGTTCTACTTTCTAGATAATGTCAAGTTGTTTTCCAAAATGACTGTGCTCCCAGCAGCAAAATATAAACATTGAGGTTGCTCCATGTCCTCACCAACGTTGACAACTGTCAGACTTCTTTTCATGTTTGCCAACATCGTTTTAATTTGTATCTCCCTGACAATTATGACGTTGCACCTCTTCACTTTTATTAAGCGTTTCTATGTTCTCTTCCAAGAAATGCCTGTTTACAAATTTCTCCTATTTATGATTGTTTCTTTCATTGTAGGAGTTCTTTACATATTCTGTATAACAATCTTTTGTTTTATATATGCTATAAATATCTTCTCCAAATGGTAGCATAAATGGACAAAAATTATTTAGTGTTGTCATATTTATCCATCTTTTTCTTTATGGTTTCTGCTTTTTGTGTCCTCTTTCAGAATTTTGAAAGGATCATTCCATTCTCTCCTAGCCTGTAATGTTTCTGAGAAATTTGCTGACAGCCTGATTGGGGTTCCTTTGTAGGTTATTTTCTTCTGCCTTCTGCCATTAACATTTTTTCTTTGCCATTGACTTTTGCCAGCTTTACTACTATATGCCTTGGAGTTGGTCTTTTTACATTGACAAAATTTGGAGATTTATTGGCTTCTGCCACATGGGTTTCCAGCTCCCTCCCCAGGTTTGAGAAGTTCTCAGCTATTATTTCTATGAATAAACTTTCTGCTCCATTCTCCTTCTCTTCTCCCTCTGGAATACCTATAATCCTTATGTTGCATTTCCTTATTGAGTAGGATATTTCTTGGAGAGTTTCTTCCTCTCTTTTTAGTCTTAGTTCTCTCTCCTCCTCTATCTGAAGCATTTCTATATACCTATCCTCCAGACTGCTAATTCTGTCGTCCTTATTATCAGCTGTATTGTTCAGGGAATCCAGATTTTCCTTAATTTCATCTATTGTGTTTTTCATCTTCAACATTTCTGATTGGTGCTTCTTTATAGTATCAAGCTCCTTTGTAATGTAGCTCCTGAACTTGTTGAGTTGTCTATCTGTGTTCTCTTTTAACTCATCGAGTTTTTTAATGACAGCTATTTTGAATTCTTTGTCATTTAAGTTATAGATTTCTGTGTCTTCAGGATTGTTTTCTGGGTACTTGTCCTTTT